CTGATCTCGGTTGTGGAGAATTGTGTCAATCAATTGAGAAAAGGTTAACAAATTTGCAAGAGGTGTCTTCTGCTCTGCTGAGATAGTGATGATGATCCCAGTTTCTTTATCCAGGTCAAAGCAATCAAGAAAAACTGTAACGATCATGAACCTGACCTCACGGCCCATTGTTCATTCAGTGGTGCTAGCTCCAGTCATTATACAAAGGTAATGTTTTTAAGACTGGTTAAAATTCTGCATTCAGCTGAGTCTGAAAAAGTCACTTGGATGTGTGACAAAGTGTTTCTATCACTGCAAACGCTACATCCAGATGAACAAAATAAACTTCCTGGGATTTTCTTACCTGAATGATTGAACATGCATCAAGACAGTAAAGTGAAATGCTGATGCGTTAACATATTTTTATTCTTTCCATGGCTATTGTTTCTAATGATAATGTAGCTATAATAATCCTGCATAGACATGCCCGTATTTTGTGCAATTTGGGCAAGCAGTGACAAGGTAATGTATCACCTTTTTTTTTTCTGTACTTCACACATTATAACAAATTGGGAATTGTGATGGATTGTGAATCATTGCATCACTGACATTCTGGTTATACAGTTCAATGAAAAGCTGTGGAAACACATATGCGCCGCTCTTAATGGGTGATGTACAGATAGAAACATCTGTGATCTGTAGATTTTGTCTTTCTTTTTTTTCTTTTTTTTTCAAATGTTTACAAAAAGCTGATTTCAGCAAAATGTTCTGAGTCAATACAAGATGCACCATTTGTTAATCGTTTTCTACAACACTGGAAAAAACCAGGACATTAAACTATGCTGCTGTTCAGGAGAAGATTGTCACTCTTTGAGACTCAGTGACTCTTCAGTGTTCACTGGTCTTAACATATTATTATCTTTGTATGTTCTTGTTTTGCTTTTTCTGTGTGAGATTAAAATAACCAAATTGATAGTATTTTATTCTTTCATAATGATTATGGTAGTAGAAAGTTAATCCCTCACCCTCTGGATGATCTTTGTCCTTCAAGCTTCACCCTAGGAGCTTTAGGCCCCTATGCAGAATCTTAGCTGTTTGCAGGATTGTGCTCATCTGGAAAAAGAACTCAGATGTTGTTTCTGGAATCTACTGGAGCCACTCTCTCAGTTTGAGCATCACTGCATCGAGGGGTCCAGTTAACACGGAGACCACTGTTGCCTTCACTTCCACATTTCTCTAACTATTCTTGAAGCTCTTTCCTGAGGTTCATGTGGTCCTTTCCTGTTGCCATCATTTGATATTGCTACATAGATCACTATAGCCCTTTTCTCTGCTTGCTTCCACTATTATGTCCCACTGGTTAGCTTTCACAAGTTTGTCTGTTTCTGGAAGTCCCACAGCTTGGTCATTCTGAACGCCTTTGGGGTGTATCTCATTTTCTAGGCCATGCTCTGCACAAATGGTCCTCTATACTATGCTGGCCCCTTGGTTATGGTGTTCCATCTATAGCCTGCCTGCAAGCATCTTGCACCCTGTTGTTATGTGCTGGATTATCTCATGGGAACAGCCTGCATCTGGTAAACCCGGGTCTCTAATGATCTTGATCTTGTGCTTAAAGTACTTAGATCTTTTGCCTAGAACTTGTTCCTGTGCTGCCGTGATTTGTATGAAGAGATTAGTTTCTTTGTCCAGCCATTGGTACGATCTTCTTTGTCATCTATTTTTTTCCACTTGCTGGCTGTCTTGCAGGATTCTGTCTTTCCACAACGGTTCCTTTTTCATGTGCCTCTTCTTTTGTTGGTTTCTGAAGCCTGAGGTATCACTTAGCACACGATCAGTTGTGACCAACTTTCTTATGTAGTCATGGATCTTTCTTGTATCATCTCAGATAGTGTTTCTTTCTGACAGTCATTAATCCTCAGTGTTAGGGTGCTGGATTAGGGGTGAAACCCTCCATGCATGTTAAGGAGCTTCCTTGTCTTGAGATCAGTTGCTTATATTTCTTTTTTCGTCAGCTTATTGTCTCAACAAGGTTTTTGATGACTGGCAGGACTTAGGTATTGATTGGCTGGATTTTGTTCATCCCATTCAGCTGAATCTTCAGAACTCACCTTACTCTCTGCAGGAATTTGACGGTTGAGTCAGTCATAGTGGTCTCTTAGTAATTTCTGTTTAACTGTGGAATTCCAAGGTAATAATAGCTATTTTATCTGCAATGCCACCTTCTGTCTTCTAACTGCACAACTGAATTGGATTTCACTCAATGACCACAAAATTTGCTTTATTTTTCCTCCTTCCTGCAAGGGATCTCAAACACTGGATTAGAGATGGGAGACAAGAGCCACCTCAACAGGACAATGCTCTGCATCTAAAGGACAAAGGTCACTCTTTCGACGATGCCATTGTTCACATTTTGGACAGAGAAGATATGTCACAG